GAGGACTCCTTCGCACAATACAACAGTTGTCACTACGCTGGTATCCATCCTTGGGTTTCCGGTGAGACCACATCTTAAATTCCTTCAAAAAAACTTTTCCTTCGAAATAGAAAGTCATGTCACAATTGTTTTCATAACTTGGTTTCAGAATCAGTGCGAACTCGACAAACGTTTATAGTGCCAAGTCTTCTGCCATAGTTGTCAAGATTATTTCTAGCATCGAAACGTTGCTTTGGTACACGGCAAAACGTTTCGCCATCATAGTAGTGAATATTTTGAGTTTATAAGTAGTATTATCGACTGTAGTAGCAATTAATACTTGGTTTCGTTGACAATCTTGCCATAGAAGTGTGATATGGCAAATGCCATAAAATTAGTTTCTAAATATTCTTTCAATCGACAAATGGAGCTGTTTTGCTCTCAAATAGCTGGGCATCTTTTGTCGAGATTTGGTCTGAGTAAGTGGAGCATGTACGAAGAGTAGCTGGGTTTCCATTATTCTCTTTAAATTACTTTATTATGAAGACTTTTCTTGTGTAGGAAAGTGTCTAATGAAAAGAAGCGCAAGTCGATTTCACCAGAAGATGACTGATCATTTACGTCGTCCTGCCGTCGTTTTTATTATACCACAGCCAGTACACGAACCTCTTCAGAACCCCTTTTTATTCTAAATTAATGCTCGAGTCAAAATATTTTTGAATTAAGTCCTTCCGGTACAAAAATGGGCAAGTCATAGTTGGACAAATGTATAAAAATTCCAGTTACCATCTGCCGAAACGAAAGCCACTATAACAATGTTATCGAAAGTTATTTCTTAAAATCAATTGACTCTTCGATTATACAAAACAAATAAAACTCCTCCCTCCCGACCCCTCTTTCTTGACAGACCAAGCGGCCTTTGAGCCCTGACGAGCCTGAGAGATGAGACTTCAGCGTTTCTGCTTTTATTGCCAAATAGAAATAAGCTCAAAATGACTGGAATAGGGTATAAAAGTAAAAACAAATTGGGGCTAGGCGAGCATCGGACCAGGCCCGTAAGTCGAGGTGAAACAAGAGGATTCACCAGCGCCGTCGAAAGTGACAAGGCACGAGTTGGCCAACATTGTTCGCTTGTTGTCTGTCAACCAGTCTCGAGGTCAGCCAGACTCCAAAGGGCACAGCTCGTGTCGACAATTCAAGGTGCCAAGAGGTACTGTTGCTATGGCGACCCTGTCAAGAGGTTGAATCAGATATTTACATATTTCGAGGGAAAGGTTGGGCTGGGCGTAGTCCCGTCGTCCAGGTCTTTGCGGATGTGTCCGTTGCGCATGTATTGACAGACGGAGCAGACGCTCTCACTGGCGCTGCCATTGTCGCTGCCTCCGCGGACGACGAGAGTGGGCGTCGTGGCTGATCGAAAGGCTCGAGGAGAAGAAGGCTGACGAGCACTTACGCTTCTGCCCAGTCGAAAGGGATAGGCAAGGTCGTCATTGTCCTCTTGTGCCGTGGAAACAACCGCCTGACGACCGGCCTCCAGTCGGTGCATCATCTCACCCAACCGTCTGGCGATGTCTCCAGCTCGGGGACGACACTTCGGCTCCAGCCGCAGACAGTCGACAATCAGTTGCCAAGCCGACTGAGCCATCCCGACCGGCCGATGCAGGAGGCAGGTAGCGCTGGCTCCAGTCAACCAACGTTCAACGTCACCATCACCTTCACCCTCGCCGTTGCCGTCGCCGTCGCCGTTGC